GCTCCCTGGTCTCCTCCTCCCACGCGCCCGACTGCAGGACCTCTCCAGGACTTCCCACATCCTCTGGAACTCACTACCCCAATCCATCAGACTGTCACCTACCCTCCTCGCCTTTAGGCGCACCCTGAAAACCCATCTCTTCAGGGAAGCCTACCCGACTCCCACTAACAGCCAATCTCCTCCACTCCTCCCACCACTCCATCCCTCACAGTCATTTCCTCCTGTACCACTATCCCCTCCCTCCTAGATTGTAAGCTCGAAAGAGCAGGGCCCTCGAACCTCTCATATATTGTTGTGTTACTGTATTGTCTCATGTCCTGTCCCCCACTATATTGTACAGCGCTGAGCAAACTTTTTGGCGCTATATAAACACTGTATAATAATAATAATAATTTTCCTGAAGAGGTACTTAGATGTTTCTGCTTTATATATATATATTTTTTGGTGTCTTCAGCTGTTGTCTAAAATGTGATTAGGGCAGTTGAATGACTAAAAAGATAGCTAATCATTGCATAGTCAATAATTACACGCATTCCTCCGCACCTTATACAAAAACATTGTGGCCCTCTATCACCATCAAAACTTTTCAACAGAAATTTTATAAATACGTTAATAATTATTATCAATTTGTTCATGCATTTTGACTCATTCCTTATATGCTACTAAACATTTGCTATAGAGTGTGATAGGATACTGAAATATAGGTGACCCCTACACATAAGCATACATGACAATTCCAAAAAACAAAAGCCACACCCTTAGTAGCTTGTTACTCCTGCAGAATATGCAACAAGGCAGCCTATTCTTTTAAGTGCCAAAATACTGCCTGATCAGCTAAAACACATTTATTGGTGGAGAATAGAAATACGATCCTACTACAATGGTGATATGTGTAATGATACAGTGGGGAACTTTTTTAGAATGAAGATATAAGCCCATAATATATACACAGGTCTTTCAGCATATACAGCAAGTACCCCAATGAGATTCACACTCTACTTTTTTTGGTCAAATCACACATTTAGAAAGATGCCCACAAAGCAATATTAATACTAATGCTAAAAGTATTACTACATTTTTAGCAATGTATTTTATTTTATTGTCATTGTGGGGATATTAGGAATATAATATGCAGAAAAGATGCATTACAAAGGGTGTTTATACAGTTAGGTCCATATATATTTTAATACAGGCCCAATTTTAATACTTTTAGCTCTGTATGCAACCAGAATAAATTAAAATGAAACAATCAAAATGAATTTGAAGTGCAGACTTTCAGCTTTAATTCAAGGGGCTGAATATAAATATCAAGTACATATTTTAGGAACTGCAACCCATTTTTATACACAGTCCTTTGATTTTCAGGGGCTCAAATGTAATTGGACAAATTAATATAATCATACATAAAATGTTCATTTTAAATATTTTGTTGAGAACCCAAAGACTGGGTTTCCTCCTTTCTGATACTTTGCCAGGCTCTAACAGCAACTGTCTTTAGTTGTTCTTTGTTTGTGGGTCTTTCTGCCTTTAGCTGTGCCTTCAGCAAGTGAAATCCATGCTCAATTGGCTTGAGATCAGGTGATTGACTTGGCCATTGAAGAATATTCTACTTCTTTTCCTTCAAAAGCTCCTGGGTTGCTTTTACAGTGTGTTTTGGATCATTGTCCATCTGTACTGTGAAGTGCCGTCCAATCAACTTTGCTGCATTTGGGTGAATCTGGGCTGACAGTATATCTCTAAACACTGCAGAATTCATTCAGCTGCTTATGTCTTCTGTCACATCATCAATAAACACCTATGACCCAGTGCCACTGGAAGCCACGCATGCCCATGGCATCACATTGCCTCCACCATGTTTTACAGATGACGTTGTGTGCTTTGGATCATGATCTGTTCCAAGCCTTCTCCACACTTTTTTCTTCCCTTCATTCTGATACAGATTATTCTTAGTTTCATCTGTCTAAATAATGCTTTTCCAGAACTGGTCTGGCTTATTTAGATGTTTTTTGGCAAAGTCTAATCTGGCTTTTCTATTCTTCAAGCTTATGAATGGTTTTCAACTTCTGGTGAAACTCTCTGTATTTGCTCTCGTGAAGTCTTTTCTTGATTGTAGACTTGATAATGATACCCCCACCAGCTGGAGAGTGTCCTTCACTTGTTTGGATTTTCTGAATGGGTTTTTTCTTTACCATAGAGAGGATCTTGCAATCATCCACCAATGTTGTCTTCTGTGGATGTCCATGTCTTTTTATGTTGCTGAGCTCACTAGATCGTTCTTTCCTCAGAAAGTACCAGACTGTTGATTTGGCCACTCCTAATGTTGCTGCTATCTCTCTGATGGATTTGTTTTGTTTATCAAGCCTTACAATGGCCTGTTTCACTTGCATGGACATCTCCTTTGAGCGCATGATGTAGGTTCAATAGATTCCAAATGCAAATACCACACTTAGAATTTTATATTTATAATTTGGATGTACATACCCTCAAATTAAACCTAGGAGCGTGCACTTTCAGCACATAATCATTATATAAGTATAGCTTCAATATGTTTTGGTACATACCTGAAGTAAATTAAAATTGTGCCTGTGTCCAAATATATATGGATCTAACTGTATTTGTTGGTAAGTGCTGCAATGTGATAACTCCAGCTGCTGCTACTAGGCATGTTAGCATAGATAGTGTATTTAAACCATCTTTTTTTATTTTCCACAAAATCATATTGAAAGATACTTTTTCCAGTCAGTGAGTAGCTGTCACTGACATTCAAGGTCAATCTTGACATTACTATAAGGAAGTTGTTATAAAACTGATGCAGTTATTTTCAAAGTGGGTTTTTAGCACCCAAAAACACATACATAAAATATGTCAAACCAATTTCCCTCACGTCAGACTTATTTCTAATGTTGCACAGGATTGTAAGAACTGACCCTACACTGGCCACCACCCTAAAACATGACTTAACCCAAAAAATAAACTCCTAATCATCTTGACACCTTTGAACAACTCCTATTATATTATATACATATATACATAAACACTTAACACTTATTCTGAACCTCTCCTTTGATTTCAATCATTCATTTAGAACTAGCCTAACCTCTTTATAATTTAACCCAATAATAAGCCTTAACATTGATCCTTAACGTGGTATTAAGCAATTGTGCATTTCCACCTTCAGAGCTGATACACACATGTGCAGTGCGGATAGAAGTTCAGGTTTCTGAGCTAATTGACACAGTAGTTGTTCAGCGGTTCCATTCAGGTTTACATCAGGTTCAGGTTCAGGTCAGGGTTTTATCCTGTTCACACATATTCGCATGTTTAGAAGGATTCCCACAGGAGTCCATAGCCTGTAATCCGCATGTGAACTGGACTGCCCTGCTCAGAAACCATACAGGACTCTTTTTCAATCTGCACTGAATCCGCACTGTCAGTGCACCGGTTCAAACCACATCCAAACCGCATATATGTGAACCAACACTTGGAGAGAAATTTGAGAAACGCCCTGTGTGTTTCTAGCATATATAATATAATAAAAAAAATGTCTTACTTTTTTAGTTAGGGCAGCACAGTGGCTAGGTAGTTAGCACTTCTGCCTGGCAGCACAGGGGTCTAATTTGTTCTACTCCCAAACATTGCACTACCTGCGCAGAGTTTGCATATTCTCTGTGTGCTTGCATGGGTTTCCTCTGGGTACTCCAGTTTCCTCCCACACTCAACATGATGGTAGGTTTATCAGCTCCTGTCTATATTTGCCCTAGTATGTGTATGTATGAATGTGAGTTAGGAACCTTAAATTGTGCTCCCCTTGAGGGTGAGGAATGGATGTGAATGTAGTATACACATATATGTAAAGCACTGCCTAAATTGACAGCGCTATATAAGTACCTGTAATAAAAAATAGTTTTAGCTTTGGAGCAGATTTATACATAATATTCAATAAATAGCTTGAAGTGTTTAAAGAATGTGCTGAACAATATATTATAGAGACACTTTAAGGGAAAATTTTCTAAGAGAATTGAAATACAATGTACCACTCAGACCTTGATATCTTTAACTCCTTGTAAGGCACACATCATGTGCACATCTATCAATGATATTGAAGATCTCCCAACACAGTACAGATAGGTTTATTTATGGAAAACATACCTCCCAGGTCCCTCCTTAACACGCCATAAAAGGGAAAAGCTAAGAAAGATTTATTTAAAAAGTAAAGCAACAATGTTTATTTATATATTTTGCTATGTGAATTAGAACAAACAAATATAAAGTAATTGCCAATATGGCTGCAGGGGTGGAATTACTCTTAACTCTTAAAATTCCCTAACCCTAGGTTCACATGTATGCAGGTTGCATTTGATGCATTTCTACATTGCATTTTGTGTTGCGTTTTGCGTTTTTGCCATGTTTTGATGCATTTTGCGTATTGAGGTTTTTTTTTTTATTTTTATTGTTGCTAGGCAGATTTTATCCACAAGCCTACAGGGCACCTATACCCCCTTCCTGCCCAGGCCAATTTCCAGCATTCAGCGCTGTCGCACTTTCAGTGACAATTGTGCGGTCATGCAACACTGTACCCATATGACATTTTTTTTTTTTTGTGACAGATAGAGCTTTCTTTTGGTGGTATTTAATCACCTCTGGGTTTTTTATTTTTTATTAAACAAACCAAAACATTTTGTAAATAAGTGATTTTTCTCCTTCACTGATGTGCACTACTGAGGCTGCAGTAATGGGCACTGATAGGCTGCACTGATGGACACTGATAGGTGGCACTGATGGGCACTGATGAGGAGGCACTGGTAGGTTGCACTGATGGGCATTGACAGGCATCACTGATGGGCACTGAAAGGCAGCACTGATACATGACATTGATAGGCGGCACTGACTGGCACTGATAGGTGGCACTGATTGGCACTGTTAGGTGGCACTGACTGGCACTGATAGGCGACGCTGACTGGCACTGGTAGGCAGCACTGATTGGAAGCACTGATAGGTGGCACTGATTGGCATTGATAGGTGGCACTGACTGGCACTGATAGGTGGCACTGAAAGGCAGCTCAGATGGGCACTGATATGTGGCATTGATGTGCACTGGTAGGCACTGATATGTGGCATTGATGTGGCACTGATGGGCATTGGCACGAGGCACTGATGAGCACTGACACAAGGAACTGATGGACACTGACAGGTTGCACTGCTGGGACTACACTGATCATCAGGGCACACTGATCTTCAGTGCCCTGATGATCAGTTTACATGTCCCTCCGCGGAAAGCCGATTACCGGCTCTCCTCTCCTCTCGAGTTGTCAGCGTGACAGCTCGAGAGGAGAGAAATGCTGATAACCGGCATTTCCCTTTTTATATGTGATCGGCTGTGATTGGACACAGCTGAGCACATGACCAAGCTGACATCTTTGGCTCTTTCCGTGATCGGTGATCCGCTGTGTCCGAGAGATGCGCGGTGAGAATGGGAGGGCGTCATATGACGTCCTCCCAGAACGAGAGAACCACCTTGTGTCCATCATATTACTATATGGCAGGCAGGAGGTGTTTAAATGCAAACCGCATAAAAAACACATTAAAAAAACACTTAACACATACAATACATGCTTTTCTGCCGTGTTCACATTGAAGTCTATAGAACCAAAAATGCAACATTTTAGATTAAAAAATGTTCCTGACCCTTTCAAAAAAATGCACCGGGTGAAAACGCAGAGATGTTAACCTGTCCCATAGGAAATCATGATAAATGGACTCTACTGCATTTCTGCAAAATGCTTTAGAAAATCATTAGCTGTGAACCTAGGTAAAGAAGGATACATTCTGTTTTGACACCAAAAGTATCCAAACAGTTACAGCTTATCTTTTACTTACATATATTACAAATGGCTATGCATAGATATTCCAGCAATATAAAAAAGCCGCAAAAATATCTTTTCAAAAGTGAGAATAATTTTTGAAAGACATTAGTGAACACTGATGTCTTGCATATGGAACAAATGATAAATCCAGTTTACTGGATATGAACAATTCTCTGATCACCTGAAAGTTGCAAATAATAATTTGTCTGCAAGTTGTTTGTTGTACCCAGTATGAGTGATATGCAGCAAATTATAGACTGGTTCACTGATTGCTAATACCAAAGACAAAGGCAAGTGATTATGTATTTATCTTTTAAAGTGTATGCCAAGGCACAAAACATCATATTGAGTACATCTCTGAAAGATGTGCACATTTCCTCATTTTTTTTCTTTATAAATGCTGCAAATAAATGCTTGTTGGTCTGCCAGAAATCAGATGTGCACTTTTTGTTTGAGCTGACAGCACCTTGTTGCACTGAAATCCCAGACTGCAGATTTCCGATCCTGGCCCCAATCTGTCATTCTCTACATGCTAACACTGATTTATTTCACATTGAAACAATGATGCTGCCTTCAATCCCAAGAGCCTGGCCACACACTGGGTGCAAGCAAAAGACTTATGGGAGCTGTAGTTCTGGGCATGTGCTTACATTGGTAGGAACTGAGCTCCAAGCATTTGCCGCTGCAAGAATTTTAGAAGCCTGATGATGACATTACAGGGAGTTTTTAAAAAATTGTTACTCACTGCATGAATGAGATAAAATTTAAAATAATTGGATAGGATCTAGCGGGGAGAGGTTTGGAAGTAGATCCATTTAGTATTTGGATACAGCCCTGCTTTTGTAGCCTTTTGATGTTCAGAAATATAGACTAATAAACAAAATAAACAAAATCAGTATAAAATACTTTTGTACGGTAATGTTTTATAAAATTATTTTCTAAAAGAAAAGAACTTCATATGTTGAGGTTTTTGAGTAGTTTAAATACCTCACTATGACTTTCCCAACACAAAAAAAAACCCTTGTGTAGGTGTGTCTATACAATCAAGCCAATGTATGTTTTCACTACATTTGTATTTTGCCTTAATCAGTTTTTGTCAAAAAGTATTTTATACATCTAAATATGTAGACACAGAGCACAAAAAACACATAGTCTGATTTAAAATGTTTAGGACATTCAGTAAATAAAGCATATATAGAAAATGTATGGATCTGAAAATTTGTGAAATTCTCAGATGAAGGAATTTTTAAATGTTTTTTTTTATGCATATATATACAGAAAGAGATAGAAGTCAGAATATAACATGTTAGCTTAACCTTTGTGGTTAGTAATATGTGGCTGCTTGAAAAAATACTAACTAACCAAAAAATGTTGTTTTGAGGAAAGTAAAAGGGGAATTAAGTCATGGGATGGAAGTCTTTATTTCCATACAGGAAAAAATCTTATATACTATTCATTTAAAATAAATAAAAAAAGGATTACAAAAAAAAAATCATAAGCATGCAAATACCATTTAAAAAAGGAAGGGCAAAGGTGAAAAGTTAGTAATTCATTATCTGTTTTACTGAGATTTCAAAAGGGACAGCCACTCTTGATGCAATATATGTTTTCTAAGATGATTAAAGTCGATAAACACCTTTATTGGGTAGTTTTTCTACCATCTTGAGTTTTCTTTTTTGTCAGCCCTTACTGTAAAACTTAACTGTTCACATTATAAGAATTCATTTACTAAAGAGATAAAGACTGTTGCAATCTGAAAGTATACTGAACAAAGCAAACAAGATGAAGCTGTTTACACTTTTAATGTCCAATCATGTAGGAGAAAAAATAAAAAATATATATATTTTGGATATGACTGAATGATCAGAGCTTCACCTGCACAGTCTACTCCTTATGTAATCAACTCTATTAAAGTATAAAGTTGTGCTCAAAAGATTTCATACCCTGGCAGAAATCGTGAAATTTTGTCATTGATATAGAAAATATGACTGTCTTTTATTTAAGGATAGTGATCATATGAAACCATTTATTATCATATAGTTGTTTGGCCCTTTTTAAATCATAATGGTAACAGAAATCACCCAAATGGCCATGATCAAAAGTTTACATACCCTGGAATGTTTGGCCTTGGTACAGACACACAAGGTGACATACACGGGCTAAAATGGCAATTAGAGGTTAATGTCCCTCATCTTTTTTTCAATTGCAGTTAGTGTCAGTGTATAAATAGTCAATGAGTTTGTTAGCTCTCACATGGATGCACTAAGCAGGCTAGATACTGAGCTATGGGGAGTAGAAAAGGGCCTCTTTCACATGGACATTCCGATCGGGTCCGCCTGACTGTTTTGCAGGTGGACCCTATAGAGACCTCCATGCTCCTCTATGGAGCGGAGGGTGTAGACGGACATGTGTCCATTTACATCCGCCTACATTCAATCCGATCCAACCTGCAAAAAAGGGATGGGTGGAGATCCAATTCCCTTTCCATCTATCGGATCGGGTTGGATGAAAATGGACAGGTGGTCCTTTTTCATCCAACTGCCCATTGAGGAGAGCGAACTTCTCTGTGTCTGCTCGGCAGCAGTGGAGCAAACACAGACCTGTCATCTGCTTGCTCAGCGGGTATCAGCGGAGAGCCCTCCGCTGAGCAAGCAGATCCGCTAAACAGGTCTGCCCCATGAATGGACCTTTTTTTTTTAAAATGATCACATACACTCTGTTGTCAGCTGCATGGAGAGGTGAGGGTGGAGAAACAGCAGTACGCTGACCATCCCGAATGAATGGCTGTGCAAGGAAGGGGGTGGCAGGACATGTCTGATCATTGGAGGAGAGCAGAGCGAGTGAAGATCTGACAACACTGTGCTCTCATGCCTAGTGTAGTCAGTGTGGTCAGTTTTTAATAGGAAAGCAGAGAGACTAGAACACCAGGGATTTCACACAAAGGGAGCAATACAAAAGAATCAGGAATATGAAATATTAGGTTTACATATTTTTTAAGTACTACCCTAAAATAGGTTGCTCAATAAGTTACCCAGAGGTTTAAGTCAAAAGAAGGTGCATTGGCATTTGTACAATCATTGACCAAATAGTTAGGGTAAGGAGAACAAAAGTAGTCAAATGACAATTAAAAATACTTTAAAGTAGATGTAGATCATAAATGAATGACAATTGGAAGGCATCATACTCATCTCTTTTTAATCAGAACTCCAGGCAGACATAAAAGACACAAATTAATGTAGCTCTGTATTCTTTAATGTATCAGTACTTGAAGATGAAAAATATTATAGTACTGCTAATATTAATATTGATATATTGTACTGCTAGTAATAATATTAATATTTACTAGTATTAGAAAATTAGATTGGGCAAAACAGTATTTTGGACAAATTAGGCAGCACAGTGGCTTAATGGTTAGCACTTCCACCTAGCAGTACTAGGGTCGCTGGTTTGAATCCCAACCATGGCACCACCTGCCTGGAGTTTGCATGTTCTCCTTGTACTCTGGTTTCCTCCCACCCTCCAAAGACATGCTGGTAGGTTAATTGGCTCCTGTCTAAATTGGCCCTAGTATGTGTATGTATGAATGTAAGTTAGGGACACTGCGTAAAAGTGGTGGCGCTATATAAGTACCTGGAATAAATAAATAAAAATAAATTGCCTTTATTTCCAAATCTATGGACATAATGGATATTCCAACATAGTCCATTCCTACCTGTAAATTTAAGATGGAAAAAACAAGTGAATAGAAAGTATTTGACACAGACCTCCCCATGTAAGCCGATACTGAATGTTTGCCAGCGTCTAGTAAAAGTAGCAGTAAATAAAATACAAATTGATTAACTCAGATTAAATTCATAGCTGTGGTCCCTTTCACTGAAAATGTCATTGCTGTGATCTGTAAGTTTAGTACTGTGCCAATGAAAATAATATAGTTTCATATTTTCTGTTTATCATGTTACAGTATGAGGTGAGTTGAAGTGGCTTTTCTTGGGTTCCGGAAGAGTACAGTACATTTAGGAAATAATTTTCTAGCTCTGCCTCCCTACTCACCACATGCTGCCAAATTTATGAGGGCACCCTTCCTATTTTAATCAGCAATGGGCTAAGCTTACACAATCCTTCTGTTGTTGTCTGGTCGGCAGTGGGAAGTATATACTTTAACAGACACTTTGTTATCCTTTTACACATGCTTGTATTTCATCTATTACTAAAGATAAATCAGCATGCCTTGTATATATTTTGCTGTTCGTTATCATGCAACAAATTCAACCTTCAAAATAATTGTTGTAATTTGTTTCCTATCAGAAGATTTTTATTTTATCAGCAGAAATAAAAAGTTGAACAAATGTTTCTTTCTTGTTTGCTTGTATTGTGTTAGAAATGTAGCTAAATGTATGACCAATATACATCTAACCCTTTCACTGCCAGGCCTTGCACTCCACTCAGGTGTACAGACCGATTTTGCAATTTTTCCATTGCTTTTTTATTTTTCCCTTACTGCTTTCAGTG